GTCATTGGGGTGGGTTTGCTGCTGAGGCTGTTTAAAACCTTGGAACCAGCAGCGCAAGGTCTCATCTGCAGCCACGCTGGGGCTGGATGTGGTGGGTTTGACTTCTTCAGCCCTGATGCTGTCCATGTTTTTGAAACCAATGTAACTGAAGGGCTGCTCCTGTTGAGCCTGACAGCTGCCAGATTCTGCTGTCTCCCCTCCCACTGTGGGCAGGGGAAGGGCTGAGATGTTGGGGTTCTCCCCCTATTTCCCCACATGCTCTTCCTCCAGATGCTGCCAGGGGACAGGAGGTCTGTGCTGGTGAGTGGTCTCCCCATCCTTGCCCACACACACAGTGCCACACTGCCTGGTGGTCACCTTGCTTCCATCCTGCGCAGCCCTGGGGCGGGGTCATGGGCGACACCAGTGCTGTAATGTGATGGTGGAGCCGGAGGAGCAAGGGGATAGGATGCTCAGCCCTGACCTGCCGCAGCACTGCCCGAAGCTGGGGCGCTTGGGCAGCCCTGCATGTGCCTGCCTGCAGGAGCTCAGGTGAGGGCAGGCCAGGCATGGCAGGGCTTGGGGGCTCAGTCCCCCAGGTCACCCGTCCCATGGCCCCCCTGCCCTGCAGGCTGCTGCAGGCGGTGAGGCCAGTGCTGCATAGTCGGCTGGCTGGGGTGAAAGTGCTGCTCCTGAATGTCAGCAGGGCTGTCACCCGGGACATCCTCATCGCTTTTTCCCCCATGGAGGTGAGATGTGCCCCTCTCCCTTGTTCAGAAGGGCCTCTGCCTTCCGAGTATCCCTCAGTCTCAGCCCCGAGGCTTGGCACGCCATGGTGTGCTCTTCCTCCACCTTGCTCCACGATTGCATCATGGACCATCAGCTTTAGCTTCCCTTGGCAAGAAGTCATGCGAAATGGTGTTAGGAAGGGAAGAGCCTCTCTGAAAAGATTGTGGTCAGGGTGAAGGGGAGATAGAGGGGGAACCTGTGGGACTTTGTGCCTCCTGTCCACACCCCAGCTTTCCCACTCTCTGGATGTCCCAGGGGACCATGTCCCATGGGGTGATGGTGGGCTGGAGCACTTCTGGGACCCACTCTCAGCTCTGTCCCTTTGCTGCTGGGTGCTGGGGATGAGGTTCTCCCCTTCTGCCCTGCTGTTGCTGTTGATGTTGCTGAGCAAAACCCATCTGGGCAGAGCTGAATTTATGCCTGGAGCAATGCTGGTGGGTCCTGAGCAGAGAAGTGATGCTTCCAGCAGCCCCCACCACCCTTCTCTGTCACAGAGCCCCAGGATGCTGAATGTGACAGAGAAGGGGAAGGCAGGGAAAATCCATCTCCCTCGAGGGATATTCCAGTCCCTGAGCAGCCAAACAGTGCACGTGGTGGTGATGGTCCTCAGCATCCCACAGCTGGGCATGTTCCAGGTATGAGCCGGTGTTGCTGGCATCCCTCCAGCTGGCATTACCTGCTGGCTTGGCTCAGGCAGCACTGCCCCCACACAGGAGGTCAACCAGACAGGGCAGGTCCTGGATGACACCGTGGTGGGCATCACAGTGGGAGAGACGAGCATCTCTGGGCTGCAGGACCCTGTGCAGCTCACCTTCACCCATGGGCAGCTGCCCCGCGTCAGTCAGCCATGCCCTCCCTCCATCCCTCCTCTGCTACTCCTCACTGAGGCGTCGGCTGATACTGGTCTACCCCCTTGCAGGGCATCACCCCACAGTGTGTCTTCTGGGATCCCAGCAAAGGTCTGGTTCTCACTGGGGCCTCGTTGGGGCTGGGTGTCGGTGCTGTGCCCAGTGCTCAAGGCCATCACCCTGTGCCTGTTGCAGGGCAGGCAGGAGGCTGGAGCAGCAGTGGATGTGACACGCAGCCCAGGGACAAGGGGACAGTCTGCTTCTGTGACCACCTCACCTTCTTCACCCTTCTCCTGGTGACAACCCCACTCCCCACAGCTGCTGCTCATATGCTGTCTGTGCTGCATGCCTCACCTTGGTGGCCCCTTGGGTACCACCAGTAGTTGCACAGGGCTGCTCCAGGGCAAGCTGAGGTCCCAAAATCAAGCCCACCTCCAGCCCAGGAAGGCAGCAGCAACTCAGCAGAGCAGGTACCTGGTGGAAACAGCCCCTAGCCTAGTGCAGGCTCTGGAGCAGCAAGGCTCTGGAGCAGCAAGGCTTGGGGTCCTGTCTGCTGGTGGAGTGCCCATAATGGTCCACCATAGTCTTCACTCATCCCTTCCCCCACCCCAGGGAGCATCTCTTCTGAGCCACCACTGCTCAACTGCCCCCAGAGACCTTCTGGGGGAACAGACCAGGGGCTTGCCTGGGGTTTCTGCAGCAGCCACTGGGGTCAGGAGCCCCGTGGCTTTGGTAGCTGCAGTTGGATTGTCTAGGTTGGTCCAGGGTCTGTCTAATACAAAGTGCACATTTGGCAGAACCCAGCTCTGGACGGGTCCACAGCACAAGCCCTGATGGCTGTTGCCACTGTTGGCTGTGGGGTAGCCATGGCTTTCTCCATCTTCACCATTGCCTTCTGCATCTACTTCAGGTAGGATGTGCCAAGCAGCTCCCTGGGGACTCATCAGGCTGGGAGGGGTGCAGAGCAGTTCTGGTGCTTCTGCCTGAACCTGCTGTGACAGAGGGCACTGCTAGCTGTGACCCTGCCTTTCCTGCTCCCCCTGGGGACGCTCAGGTGCAGGTTCAGGTCCGAGGAGACCCTCCGCATCAACCTGGGGCTGCATGTGAATCTGGTGGGCAGCCTGCTCCTCTTGAACCTGGCCTTCCTGCCCAACAGCGGGCTCTCCACTGGAACCCTGCTGGGGACCTGCAAGGTCCGGGGGGGCTCACCCATTACTGTCTGCTCTGCTGCTTCACCTGGATGGCACTGGAGGGCTGTCACGTCTACCTTCTCTTCGTCAAGGTCCTTGGCACCTACATCCGCCACTATCTGGTGAAGCTGTGCCTCGTGGGCTGTGGTGAGCACCACTAGCCTCAGCAAGAGCCAGAGGGAGAGGCGGGCAGTGGGTTACAATCAAAAGGGAAACTGGGTGATGCAGCAATGGGCAGTGGATGAGCAAGCCCCCGTCCTGCCCACAGCTCTTCCAAATGCTGTGGTCAGGGCTGAGAAGGGTCTTATATGGGCTTGGGGTACCCACACCTTCCACCCTGCTGGGGACCATCCTCCTGCTCATCAAGCAGGTGATGTCCTCGGGGGTCTTTCCTCATCCATTGCCTTCCACAGCACCCTGAGGGGACTGGGGTAGAGGAGGGGACATGTTCAGCCCTTGTCCTCAGCACTGCACTTCCTTCTCCACATCATGTCCCAGCAGCAACCATTCTGCCTCCAGCACCTGTGCAACCTCCATGGGTCCCTAAGCCCTATCTTCCTGGAGGCCAGTACACCCAGGGCCATGCAGAGACCACAAGCAACCACCTTGCCTCCTTCTTGCCTCCCTTTCCTCTCCCAGGTGTCTCCCTTTTTCTTCCAGGCTTCCCCGCTCTTGTAGTGGGAGTGGCAGGAGAAAAAAAATCCAGACCATGGACCACCAGGTCATAGCCCGCCTGTGCGTGCCCCAGCGCCCACAGGGCTTTGGTGGCCCTCTGGCATGTAGAGCAATAACCTGTTCCTGCTGGGAGGGTTGGTTGCACCCATCCTGCTAGGCTTTACGCTGCACTTCTGCTTCCCCAATTGTGATTGCAACACAGCAGCCAGAGCTGTGGTAACCACCAGCAATCATGCTGAGCCTCCACGGTCATGCTTGCAGCCCCCAGGCCATGAAGGGACATCCAAGGGCCACCCGGAGTTTCCCCAGGCTCCCTCCACCCAGCTGAACAACAGGAGGGCAGCAGATGCATACTACTGTCCCCCCTGCTTCACTCCAGCCTTGGAAAATCCCACCAGCACAAGAGTGTCCCTGCATCCCCCAACACGTGACCCTGGGGAGGCTCTCATGGGTGCTGCTGGGGCTAGCAGAGGCACTGGAGGCACCATGGTTGTCTCTTTTCAGGTGCTGGATCACTTCCAAACATCTTCTGGTCCACTACATCACCAACTGTGGCTACTTTGGCCTCATCTTCCTCTTCAACACAACTGTTTTTGGGGTGGTGATCCAGAAGAGCTGCAGTCTGCACAGCACAGGGGTGGTACAGGGAGATCGCAAGGCCTGGAAGGTGGCCCTGGTGGCAATGGGGCTCTTTTGCCTGCTGGGAGCCACCTGGGCCCTGACGTTCCTCACCCATGGCAGATCCTCTGTGGCCATGCTCTACTTCTTCACCATCCTTAACTCCCTCCAAGGTCAGGGCTGGATCCAAGCTGGGAATCCTGGGCTCGGGTGGGGAAGATGGAGGAGGCAGAAACCAGCCTGGCAGTGGCTTGGCCAGGGTTACCAAGGCACCAGCAGCTTCCCAGCACTTCCCTTTGGCAGGGAAGCAGCAGTTCCCAGCCACCAGCATGGAGCTGGTCATGGCTCCTGACCACATCCACTCCACTGGGGGTGGTTTTCCTCAAAGGAGGCCATTTCTTAGCAGAAGAAGAGGGACAGTATCCACCCAGGGCATGTTCCAGGCAAATGGCTCACTGTAAAGCACAGGGAGACCCTCCAGCAGGAGCAGGAGCAAGCTGGGGGAATACCCTGGAAGCGGAAGGGAAGAGCCAGCAGCATTCCAGCAGGATGCTTCCCACCATCTCCTGCTGCTGAATGTCTGCCTTCCTTTCCCTGCAGTAATCTTCATATTCATCTGGCTGGTTGTCCTCTACTACCCAAAGGCAAAGGAGACCATTGGCTCCTTCTCCCACATCATCAGACATGACAAAGCCATCATAGCCTCCCAGGACTAGCTGCTGGCTGCATCTCCCTCTCTGCCTGCACATGCCCCTGCTGGGAGCAAGCCTCAATCCCAAGAGATGCAGCTTCCCATAGAGGATGAGGGATCAGTTTACTATGCCTCAGTTTACCCTTCAGTGGGCATGATCCTCTTTAGCAGTAGATGCACTTTGCTTCAGCCCAGCCTGCCTTGGGCAAGGAGCCCTGGAGACATCCCTTCTGCCAAAGTCCCTCCAGGCTGCAGCTGCCCCAAGATCTCTTTCCCCAGGGACTCTTGTGGGGGGAAGGAGAGAGCCTATGAACCGTCTGCCTCCAGCCAGGATGGAGACATCCTCCTCTGCTAGAGATAGCCTTTGGTGCTGGACCAGCCCAGCAGTGGGTTTTCCTGCAGTTGGAGGTGGGAGGATTGATTGACTCCAGCCTGGACTCAGGAGGTTCAGGTCTGGGAATCATCAGAAATAGAGAAATCCCATGAGGTCCTTTGCAATACATCCCCTCCAAACAGACTGGGGCTGAGCTCCTTGGGCAGGGATCTGCTGAATATCGCTCCTTTCCCAACCATTTCCAGGAGGCCACGGTGCTTCAGCTGAATGCACACATGGCCACTCCTGTTCTTTACCTGTGTTTTAGTACTAAATCTCTGTCAGCTCTCTGAGCAGTTTGGTTTTAGTCTTCGATGCTCTCAATATTGTTTGTTATTTGCTTTATACCGGGGATGTTTTGATGGGTAAAAGTCTTGCTGGCAATTTGTCATGAAGGAAGGAAGAAATCTCCATGCATAGGTGTATATATGGTGCATGCACAGAGCAGCCCTTTCTCTGCTAATGCTACATCTGTGTCACACAGAACCATGTGAAGTCCAGCTTTGGTGGGCAAATACCTAGAGTGGGCACCTCCAGCTCCTCATGGGTGACTCTCTGGGAAGGAGGAAGGAACGTCCCGTCACAGAATCACAGAATCCCAGCCTGGTTTGTGTTGGAAAGGACCTTAAAGCTCATCCAGTTCCAACCCCCTGCCATGGGCAGGGACACCTTCCTCTAGAGCAGGTTGCTCCAAGCCCTGTCCAAGCTGGCCTTGAACACTGCCACGGATGGGGCAGCCACAGCTTCTCTGGGCAACCTGTGCCAGGGCCTCAGCACCCTCACAGGGAAGAACTTCTTCCTAAAGCTCATCTCAATCCCAAGAATTTCTCTGTATGCTCATTATTTAAGCATCCATAATAAAACCATTATTGAGATACACACTGGGCAGGACCGAGCTGTGACCAGACTCAGTACAGCAGGTCAAAAGTTCCTGTGAACTTCACCATGAGTGCATGGCAAAACAAGTTTTGAATAAGTGAGTGAGGGTGTTTGAGAGCATGGGCCAGGAGGGGATAAGAAGGTCCCTGGGATGCTATAGGGAACTGAAACACTCTGATGTGGCTCATTCTTGAAGCACTGTTTGCCTCCAACCATCACAGGCAGGAGCCTCTCTGCTGCTGTCTTGTTTATTTCATAGAATCATAGAACAGTTAGGGTTGGAAAGGACCTCAAGATAATCCAGTTCCAACACCCTGCCATGGGGAGGGACACATCACACTAGACCATGTCACCGAAGACTTTGTCCAACTTGGCCTTGAACACTGTCAGTGATGGAGCACCGGGGAACATCTGCCTTCTACACCAGCCAACGCCTAGCACCAATAGCCACCACAACCACAAGGAGCAAAGTGAGAGTACACAGCACAAGGAGGGCCACAGGGAGCCACGAGTTGTATCCTGCCAGAGAAAGGTTGGTTACACATACAGGGCCCCTAAGCCGGTGCTGAGACCTGACACAGCATCTTCTGGCTGGGGCTGAGCTGGGGAGGTCACCTCCTGTGAAGGGTAAGAGCCACTGCAGCTGGGGGTATGTCACGTACCTGAGGGCACTTATAACAGTCACCCCAGTTAGCCTCACTTGGGGCCTCCACCTGCACCCACTGCTTGGGGGCTCCATTTAGCTCATCATTCATGCAGCTGGTCTGAGCTATGCTTTAGGTGGGCTTGGTCCTGGATTGACCTCAGTGCTCAGAAGGAGCCTGCCTTGCTGGGTTGATGCAGAGATCCAGTGTGAGAGACCAGCCTTCCTTGCCTGGCTCCTGGCTCCTGGTCCCTTCCCACCCCATTCAGCCCAACCTGTGCCCGGTATGGAGCTGCTCACCAGAGCCAACCTCTGTGTACTGGTCTGGCTCCCGGTGCACACCCTGCATGGCCGTGACACCTGAAAGACTCCACGCTCCTGTGCAGGGCAGCGACTTTAGCAGCGCTTTTAAATAACCAGGCATTGCCTAGAGAGTTGCAAGGGTCTGTGAGCTGCTCCTGCCCTCCCCAGAGGGTCATACGTACCCTTCAGGTCCTGTTGGTCATTCCTGGAATGGTGGGTCTTTTTTCCCAGCAGGCGGATTGGCCCATAGGAGACAATCTTACTGTAGTCATTGGCCAGTGCCCGCTTGTTCCTCCAGTGACTAGGGCATTGCTGTGGACAAAGCCAGGGGAAAGGTGTTGGGACCAGAGGGCAGGGGAGAAGCCCAGTCCCTGGACAAGAGCACATCCTCGTGGTCTGCCCCTGCAAGAGGTACTGCTGGGGCTGCAGCCTGGGAGTGGTCAAGAGCCTGCTCCTCCCCAGGACCTAGCATAAGCCTCTCCTCCTGCAGAGGAGGACAGACAGAAGAAAGAGGGAAAGCAGCTTTCTGGTGGGTTTAAGCCCTTATACCTTTAGTTCAAGGTGCTGGGCTGAGCTCCTGCTGCTGGGAGATGTTTATTGTGCTGAGGCATCCAAAACCAAGCCCCTTCTCCAAGCAGCAGGACCAGGGAAGGGAGGTCCTTCTGCGTGGCCAGGGCATGGTGCAGACCACTGGGAGAGCTCACCTTGGCACAGGGCTTCAGGCCATTGGGGAGACAGAGCTGGACACGGCAGTGCAGGAACACCTCGGTGTAACCGGCAATCTGGAACATCTGGAAGCTGAACTTGGCAGTAGTGCTCTCTCCAAAGCTGTTCAGGTATGTCACTGTCTCATCATGGGGACACCTGGGACACCATGGCTGAGTAAGCATGTGGAAACAAGGGGGAGCATCCCAGCCTGGCACACCAAGCACCTGGGGACCAGGTGCAGCTCCCAGGCTTTGCCGAACAGAGCTATTACTGTCTTGGTGCTGGTGGGGATGCCTTTTCTTGGCACCCTGCATTGTGCCCAGCTCCTGGAGGAACTGCTACCAGCACAGGAGCTGTATTGTGTCTTGCTCTGTGGGGCCACAGCTGCTCTGCAGAGGTGCAGTAAGTCTGGCTTGCTTCCCACTTCCCAGATACCCATGTTAATGCCTTTAGCTTGGCTGCAGCCACTTTAATGCAAGCTCTTCAGCAGACACCTCTCTGTACACCACAGCAAGGTTTCCCCTCTCCCCTCCCTGCTTTCTGCCTCACCAGCTGGCCAGAAGTGATGCTGGAGGGAAGGCAACAGAGCAGGGTCAGGAGAGGGGGGTCAGTTTAGAGTGGTTAGAGGGATCATCTATGGGGCTTTTCCACCTATTCAATGATGGTGTTCCCCATAGGTTCCACCCATGCAAATGATGGTGTCATTGCTCATTGCTCCCTCACAGCAACCCGTCCTTAGCACCCAGCAAAGAGATGTGACTGTGTTCATGGTGCAAGGAGACCAGATGTGCTATGGGCACTCCACTCACCCCTCCTCAATGAGTTTGTGCTGCATGTCCTGGTAGGGATGCATGCTTGGTGTGGCCCAGCAGCCCTCAACGCGCAGCAGGAAG